AAACTTCCACGAGGCCGTACGAGTTACCCGCGAGTAAGGGAGGGCTGAATTTTAATTTGCCGCATCACCCGTTGGCGGAAACATTATACCAAAATTTCAGCCTCCTAGCTTTTGTGGTTCCCGAGTTGAAAGTGCGAGACAAAATGTGAGACACACACACACATAAACACACGCACACAGACAACCCGTGACAATGTGCGTTTTGTAACGCTGTTACACAGCACAAAACGCATAAAAGAGATGAAAAGACAAGTACAGAATTTTGAAAGGGACATATTGCATTACTTGCAAAGTTTTTTTAAGAAAGAATTTCACAGGTGATTGTTAATGGAAGCATGTAAGTCAAAATAAGATTTGCGAATTAATTTCTTAATATCGAGAAAGTGAAATTATAAAAAGAAAGAAATGCTTCGGTCCATGAATTCGTATACATTTTTTTCTAGCACCACAACTGGACTTCGTCAGTTAAACCTTTTTTACTTTTCCCGCTTTTTATAGCACTTGTTTCACAATTGCTTCCTTTCATCATCAAATGAGTTGACAGTGTTCCATGATTGTTGTGGCCAAGGGTGCATTTTTTAACGATTAGCATACTCGTGTAGTAGCGTTATTCGTCTCAAAAAAAAACTCTTTCTGGGAAAATTTACCGCCTGCAACTATCCCCGATGGCATGCTGGTGAAGGCTTCCTCTTTTGAGGTTTACTTAAAAGCAAGCTTTTGGCTGTTTCAACTTCTTCATACTTGAATACTTGAGCAATAGTTCTGTGCCATCGACTTTTGTTGTCGGGCAACTTCATATTGCTAGTTGGTACCATCAGTTTTATTTACACGAAGTGTCCGGTTTGAATACGGACGTTCTGTGTATGATAGTTTATCAAACAGTAATTTTACAGATGGTTGATGCGATAATAATGGGAACTTCTCAAGGAGCAGCACGTTACAGCGAGGATGAATTCCGATATTACGATCCAAAACTGATACATTCCACTGGCAAAGAGTAAGTATTGCCAAGTATTGGAAAATTCCCTTTGTCACAGGGCTGTGCTTCGCCTGTAGCTGTATTTCTCTGTTACATCGAGACCTTCAAACTTGTTCTCCGTCTCGCCTGGGTGTTATTTGTCCACGAGTTTTCTACATTATTTTGAGTTTCATGTCGAACTGGTGGCAGTACGCATTCTTCATCCACTTGATTTTTTCGTTCTTGTTGTGGAGATTGAATTTTTTTTTTTTTTTTTGCATTAATAGTAAGTCCTGCAAAATTTTTTGATTTTTGCATTAAGTAGTTTAACTTGTGCGAAAATATTGATATGAAATCTTTCCGTTATTTTAATTTTCTGTAAAACGCAAGAAAAGGCTATAGAGTCTCTCAGTTATTTTAGTTTTTTCTAAAACGTTTTCAGGTGCGCGAGTAGAGGGTTTCTGGCAGGAAATCAGCGATGATGCTTCATTGTGCAGTATTAGATTGGGTTGAGAAGTTTTGCAAACTGAATGAAAAATCCACATTTTGCATTACAGGCCACAACGTGGACGTGGAAATCCAGCACAGGATGTGATTGTTTTTGTAATTGGTGGTGGAAATTATGTCGAATATCAAAATGTTATGGATTATGGAAAATCACGGGGACTTTCACGAATAACATATGGTTGCACGGAACTCGTCGGCCCTAAGCAATTCGTCGAGCAAGTTAGAATTTACACTTACAAAAGTAGAACATTCTTCAGTTTTAGCCCCTCCATTAGCCGTCAAAGGTTCTGTTCCGCCGATGAGACAACCAATCCATCTACGATTCATTTATTTGTTTCGATGGTAAATTGTTACTGACATATGCCAGGGATTCAAGCCCATCATTGACCTGTTTATAAACAATTCTCGGAAGAAGAAGCCACTAAAAGCCTTGCCGGCGTGTGGTTGCTATTGGCATTTGCTACCACTCGGACCATTTCCTAGGCGCCTTTGCCCCTCACTGAAAGCGAATACAAAGTGCTTTTTACTTTGATTGATAGCCAGTCATGCATTTTCCTCACTCAGCCCCTTACCATATTGGTCCAAATAAGAACCAAAATCAGAAAACTTCAGTGATTGTCGAGGTAATATTCCCAGTAAGGTATACATCGGAATCATTGGAACTAAAGGAGTTTTATGTGAGATATTTTAATAATTTGCCTAAATATGCAGGATAAGTACATTTCCTGTGTTTTTCTGAAACACGTTGATTTCAGCTAACTCGTCTCGGTCGACAGATGTTGTAAAAGGACAACGTTTTGTTTGCTTTTTATGGTTCGTACATTCAGTGGGATTCTGCGCAAAAAAATCTTATCGGATTTATCTGCGGTGTTTTTATAGTTATAACAGAGAAATTTTATAGTTGTAACAGAGACACTGTTTTCATTCTGTGTCTGTGTCTTTTTGCAGTTGAAGAAATCAAAGTGTTTTTGTGTTTTTAAAACAAGATGAACCTTATTTCTGTGCCTTTTTTCCCTTTTGTTAGTTGGTCGAGGAGGAACGAAGAAAAGTAGTTTAAAAAGAAGCTGGCATAATTAGGCCTAACATTTTGGCTGAATTTTCGTGATTTTCAATCCCACTTCAGACGAATGCTGGTGTGATTTTAGAAATTTTGCTAAAAAATGAAAAATGCACTGAAAACAGGTTTTTTTTCCAACGATTACAAAGTGGAAGTTGTATTATCGCCAGAATTTTTAATTTTTCTTATTAAT